AAAACTGCAAGTTGTTTCTGTAAATGATGCGCTTTTAATTTGCATCAGAAGCCCATTATTGAGAGCTTTTATTTACACCATTAACTGTCTCACAGACGTTCACTTACTGTTACTTTACAAATTTGGACATTAGTTACTGCCATCCTCACTGATATAAATAAATGAAATAACTGATGCAATACTTACTGATTAAATAAATGAACATCTTGTGGATTTTATGCATTTGAGCTAGTGCACGATATATTGCATACACTAATACTGTATGTAATAAAATGAGTTAACATCACAGATTCACACAGGTACAAGCCTCAACACATTGGTCAGCGTTTAGCATATTGAGAGCCCCTCAAACAGATGTTTTCACATATTTGTTAGAATTTCTTGCCATTTGTTACAGGAATTCACCTTAAAAAACCCAAATAATTAGGAGCGGCAGGATTCTAAAACCACTTTGCAATCTTACAGACAAGTTACTCTGTCAGCAGATGAATATGCCCAGACACGGGCCTGACGAGAGTGTGTTCTGCCTGAATAAACATGAACATATTGTAATGGTTAAATATCCATAAATGAATACTGTCAGCACACTCCAGAGAATAAAGCTCTCTCTGTTACGACCGCTCGCTTGTCCTCATGTTTACCACATGTAATTGTGCGCTTTAATTCCTGATTGCCGTTTGTAATTCCATCCTTTTTTGCTGGGCTGATGTTTGAGATGTCGATCCTCTGCCTGTGGAATTCCACTGTCCTTTCCGCTTGATCTCTGCTCTCTGGGCTTTCTGGTAAATTTTGCCCATTTTCCTTCTGGATAATCTCACGTTGTCTCATCAGACTTGTGTTTTCTCTCTCCATTCTTTCCATTTCTCTCTCAATTGTTGCCAGCGGTGATATCTCCACCTCTGATGTCCTTTTATTATTGAAGTTCCTTTTGTTTTGACCTCTGAGGTTCAGTTTCTGGAAAAAACACACAAACTGTCAGACACTGTGCTACTTTTGAAGATTTTAAAGTGAACTGACAATGCTATTACAATTTCACACAGTTCTCTTAAGACAGCTCTCAGCTCTAATCTAATTTTAGCAGAAATAAAGTTTGTGCCATGTATACACACAGTCAAGTCTCTCCTCTTGCGAGGCAGCGTGGGTCTCTGGAGGAAGAGGATCTGTTTTGTGGCCAAACTTCCATCACTAAGACAAAAAGAAATCAGAGGTAATAAAATCTGTAAGAATATTTATTTTTTTCTTTCGACACAACTGATACGTTTTTTTGCAGGTAATATATATCCTATTATTAGCCCCTGAAGTGCAACTGTGAATGTAATGCTCTTGTTTAAAGGCATAGTTCACCCAAAAATGAACATTTTATGAAAATGTACTTACCCTCACGTCATCCAAGATGTAGATGAGTTTGTTTCTCCATTCGAATTTGGAGTAATTTAGTGTTACTTCACTTGCTCACCACATCATAAAACGTAATCCACATGACTCCAGTCCATCAATTAACATCTTATGAAGTCAAAAGCTGTGTGTTTGTAAGAAACAAATCCATCAAGATGTTTCTAACTTTAATTCGTTGCTTCTGTCTAAAATATGAGTCCCTCTATCCATAATATTGCTTTCTCCAGTGAAACTGATGGACTGGAGTCATTTGGATTACTTGTGGATTATTGTGATTCTTTTATCAGATATTTGGACTCATTCTGACGGCACCCATTCACTGCAGAGGATCCA